GCTTGGATTTCAAAATCCCTGGTCTAAACCGGGGCCCTTTGGGGGGCGCGGGGGGGGGGGGGGGGGGGGGGGGGGGGGGGGGGGGGGGGGGGGGCGGGCGTGCCGTGTTTTTTCTAACAACCGTAAGGAACATACTAAATTAGAGAAAGGGCCACAGCATCCCCCTTCGCTCTTCTGCATCTCAGAGGCGCTTGCAAAGCGTAGATGCCTGGTTGCAGACAGCTTCACCACCCATCAAATCAGATTTTTGTGACATAATTAAGGTTCAAGGCTTGGGGTCTGCGATGGCACGATTCGATCTGACTGCGATACTGATCTGGGGGGATAGGCCATAGACCCTTTCGGGCCGTACAGGTGTACCTTCACAGACGTGCTGGTGGACGGATGGCGATGTAGGATCTGAAAACAACTGGCACAGCTGGCTCGGATGCCTTCCCATGCCAAGAGGTGCAAAAAAAGCACTTGAAGCTGAGTATCGCACGCCAAGCCCTACCGCACTTACTGTTGGTTAGTAGGGAATTTGGGGGGAATGAGGCACCCTATATAATCCCTTGAAGAGCATATACATATATATATATATATATATATGGGGCCCTAATTCCCTCATTCCCTGCGATCCAACCGTAAGCCCAGAGAGGGCGTGTGCCGGTAGTCCAGGTTGGTTGGGGACATTCAGGGCGGGCCACACCAATGGATAGCCTGAATACACTTAGAGACAGCATGCCTGGCATCGAGCCCTACTGCAACATAGACAGAAGAGAGCTGGGGGTTTAGTTTTAGCGCTTTAGGGGGGTTCGGGTTTCGGGTTCAAAAACCCCTCAGAGGTCATGATCTGGATGGTGGGGTGGCAAAAAGCCTTTCGCCTCCCCTTCCTCCCCCCCCCCCCCCCCCCCCCCCCCCCCCCCCCCCCCCCCCCCCCCCCCCCCCCCCCCCCCCCCCCCCCCCCCCCCCCCCCCCCCTCCTCCCGCCCCCTCCTCCCCCGAAAAAAACCCATCACTAGCCCTCTCGAATAATTTCAATGAACCCTAAGCCCCAAGCCCCAAACCCTAAACCCCAAACCCTAAACCCAAACCCCAAGCCCCAAACCCTAAACCCTGGCAGGCTTCGATGAGCAGCAGGGCGCGCTGGAGATTCGGGCTGGGCCCTGAGGATGGACGATTGGGTTTAGGGTTTAGGGTTTAGAGATTAGGGTTTAGGCTTAGAGCATATAGGGCTTGTAGTGTTTAGGGTGTTGGGTTGTGGGTTTACAGGGGAGGCGGTTTTTGGGTTTCGAGTCTAGGGCTTCGTAAGGTCGCGTTATAGGGTCTCAGGTGAACAGCACCCTACTCTCCCGAAACCCTAAAGCACACACCCAAGCCCTAGGCCGTACACCCTAGACCCCAGACACCCTAAACCCCAAGCCCTAAACCCTGAACCCTAAACCCTAAACCCTAAACCTAGGACCTAGACCCCGAACCCCCGGCCTTGAGGCTCCAAAGCCTCATGTAAGCCCCGACCATAAGCCCATGCAAACCTCCAAATACGTAAGAAACTTGAAATTAAGGGTTTAGGGTTTGGGGAAATAGGGTAAGAAATAATTGCCTGAAATATGGGGACAAATAGCGTCCCTAGTTTTGGGAAAGCGAAAAATGTATTCGCCCATGTTTCGTGGTTGCACTCTTTCATGTGCTCCTGGCTTTGTCGACTTAAGGTTTCGGGCTTGCGTTGCTCAGAGATGTTGCATTTGCAGGAACCTGGTTGCAAAACGCCTTGTACTTCTGCTTTCAGGTACCAAACGATACTGGACAATGGGAGGTTGTTCACAGTCGCCCCCCCAAACCCTGCTCGCCCCTTCCCTTGGTGCCATGCTTTTAGGGCAGCTGAACACAACAGGGCGTATACACGCTGCGAAAGCTCTTAATCGGTTTTGGGGGTTCGTTACAGCTCCATGAAACCCACCCCAACCAAACCTGCACTGCCACCAGTCCATTCTTCGGAACAGGTTGTTCCTCAAACCCTAAACCCTAAACCCTAGAAGCCAGCAGGGTGCTTCCGCCTCCGACTGCAGGTTCCCGACGGTCGGATAAAGCTGGCCGGCGCCTTGAAGACATGTTCTCGGCATGGCACCGAAACCCTAAACCCTAAACCCTAAACCCTAAACCCTAAACCCTAAACCCTAAACCCTAAACCCTAACCCCTAGACTATATCCCCCTTGGGAACTATTTTTTGTTTACATACAACCCAAGAGGATACGAAGAATATGTTTTTGGGAGTATGGAAGACACTACGAGTCCCTACGTCACTAGGAACCCGAGACCCTGAATCCCAACTCCCCAAAGCCTAGATCCTAAACCACCCCCACCCCCCCACCATCCACCAAAACACACAGAACGTAACATAATATCCCTAAACCCTAAGCCCTAAACCCTGAGCGTGACATGCATGAGGAGGTTTAGACCTTGTAAGCTCTGAAAGGGATGTTTTTGGCAGCCAGTAGGGGTGATGGAAGCTTGAGTGCCCTTTGAAAATCCAGGCTTTAGGGTTTAGGGTTTAGGGTTTAGGGTTTGGGGTTTGGGGTTTGGGGTTTGGGGTTTGGGGGGGGGGGGGGGGGGGGGGTGGGGCTTCGTCTTGGGATCCTTAGGAGTTAGTTTAGGGTTTAGGGTTTCAGTTCTGTGTCTGGCGCTTGCTGGTCGGCTTGAAAGTTGGCCCTTATACTAACAGCTCCTTAGTAGGGCTTATCGTACCCCCTTAACAGGGATTATCGACACCCGAATTTAAGCCCTACCCTAAGAACCCTCAGAACCCTAAGAAACTAAGAACCCTACTTAAGAACCCTAAGAACCCTCAGAACCCTGAGAACCCTACCAACCTTCCTTAGTGCCCTTAGCACCCTTAGAACCCTCAGAACCCTAAGAACCCCCAGTGATCCGCTGACCGAAAGGGCCCCTTGCACAGCGCTCTTTGTAGCCATTAACGTTTAGATTTCAGGGTTCAGGGTTTGGGTTTAGGGTTCAGGGTTTAGGGTTTAGGGTTCAGGGTTCAGGGTTTAGGGTTTAGGGTTAAGGGTCTGAAAGCCCCACAACGGCAACTTCAGGTCAGACCCGAGAATTGTGCTCAGCCACGTGCGGGGGCACAGCGGGCAAAGGAGACGGAGTTGAAGGATTTAGGGCTGATGGTTTAGGAGTTGGGTAAACCACAAGCCCTAAACCCTAGTTGGCAGGTGTAAGGTCCTAAGCCCTAAACCCTAAACCCTCAACTATAAGCTCTTTGGGCTGCCACTGTGCCGCCTCAGAGACGGGTTCTGATTGGTTTTCGGAGTTGATCTTGCTTATGGGTTTAAGGTGTAGGGTGTAGGGTTTAGGGTTTAGGGTTTCAGGGTTTAGGGTTTCAGGGTTTAGGGTTTCAGGGTTTAGCGTTTAGGGAACCTGCTGTGGAAGGCTCAGAGTATGTATACCTTTGGAACCAAGTAGGTGAATCCAAGAAGTGGAATCCAAGAGGGGTTGGGGTTTAGGGTTTGGAGAAAAAGGCCCTTGATCGCTTCGTTCCTGGGGTATGTTTCGGAGAGTTTCAGAGGGCCTTGCGTTGTAACCCAAGCCCTAAACCCCGACGACCCTAAACCTTAAACCCCAAACCCCACCCCCTAAACCCTACTACAAGTTTCGGAATCTCAGTTCTAGCAGATTGCCCATTCAGGCTATTGAAGCAGCGCCCATCATGGAGAATCAGCCGGTTTGGGGTTTAGGGTTTTGGCGTCTTGGGGTTTTGGGGTTTTGGGTTAGGGTTTAGGGTAAAAAGAATAAAGTCCCCTGATGGGCGAACTCCCCCCCTGAAACCTTGGCAAGCTCCCTTATGGGCGCCTAAACCCTAAACCCTAGACCCTAGACCCTAGACCCTAAACCCTAAACCCTAAACCCTAAACCCTAAACCCTAAACCCTAAACCCTAAACCTGTCCGCGGCCCCTTTGTGCCTCAATTGCGCAGCTCCTGCCTTGAGTCAAAGGCTTCGGCACCTGGCCTGCCCATAATCCGAGTAATACGGGGGGTGGGGGGGGTTTAGGGTTTAGGGTTTAGGGTTTGGGGTTTGGGGTTTGGGGTTTGGGGTTTAGGGTTTAGGGTTTAGGGTTTAGGGTTTTGGGTTTTAGGTTTAGGGTTTGGGGTTTGGGGTTTGGGGTTTGGGGTTTGGGGTTTGGGGTTTGGGGTTTGCTAATATACACCCCCCAAATAGTAGGATCCCCTTATGATAAGGACCCCAATCAGGTACCCCTAATATGGGAAACCCCCATATAGGGGCCTTACTAGTAAGAATAGGTTTTGGGGGGGGGGGGGGGGGGTCATTATAGTATTATTTTGTAGTGACCATAAGGGAACCCTATTCGAAATTCTTCCGACCTCTATAGTACTTTTATGTCGAATGCTTTGGCCTCGAAGTACCACCCGGAACCCTCAACCCGAAAGCCTTAGCCCTACAAGCCCTAAACCTGCTGGGCCCAGTGTCTACATTTAAGTGTGCAGAACTCCTTTTGGGTAGGCTGCGGAGTTTACCAGTAAATATGGGGACCGGGTGTGGAAATGGGTGTGCTTGCGGTTTAGGGTTTTGGGCTACGGTGTAGGGTGTTGGGTTTGGGGTTGACGTGTCAAAGGCATGTACGTAACAATTGCATGCCTTAGAAACTTCATGCATTGCCCTTCTCCTTGCGGTGGCGCCTGGATCCACGCGAAGTTACCCTACAATTTCCACAGCCAGACCCACGCCAAAGCCCCGCGCCCTAAAACCCTAAGCCTAAACCCTAAACCCTAGAAACTAAACCCTAAACCCTAAGCCCCAAACCCGACACCCGAAACCCTAAACCCTAAACCCTCAACCCTAAACCCTAAACCCTCAACCCTAAACCCTAAACCCTAAACCCTAAACCCTAAACCCTAAACCCTAAACCCTAAACCCCAATCAAAACGGCAAGGCACTCAAGCAGGAGGTGTTCGTTATCTGTGAAGCACAGAGTGTTTCTCCATTTCGCGCGAGATGCTTCCGGTCATCTTCCAGCTCATCCTGGTGCCTTGCACTATTTAGGGTTTAGGGTTTAGGGTTTAGGGATTGGTACGTGATTCTGTTCGGTGATGAGGTTGCTAGGCAGGCCCTGATAGGACATTTCATACTTTTCCTGATTGGGTTCAAGAGGATCATATTTAGGAATGAACCCTAAACCCTAAACCCTAAACCCTAAACCCTAAACCCTAAACCCTAAACCCTAATATTTTTCGGATGGTCTTAAGGGCCATCCTAGGTTAGAGTTCACGTCAGAGACCCAAACTCTAAGGCCTTTCAGGGTTTGGGGCTGACTTAGGGTTGCTGGCACTTTGTGCACCTCTAATCCTCAGCCGAAAGCACATGAGGTGCCAGCTGCGTAGGGTTTAGGGCTTAGGGCTTAGGGCTTAGGGCTTAGGGTTTAGGGTTTAGGGTTTAGGGTTTAGGGTTTAGGGTTTAGGGTTTAGGGTTTAGGGTTTAGGGTTTAGGGACCCGGAGAACCTAGCAATGGGTTGACTGGCGGCAGGACTAAACCCCAGAAAAGTACTTGTTCATTTTTTGTTCACCACTCAGTTGTCGAGTCAGGCTTCAGGGAATTTTGGTTTAGGGCTTTTTGAAATCCGAATCCCGCTCCTCTTGCAAGCGATGCCCTCGAACTCAGAGACTTAGGCCTGGATAACCCTGAACCCATGCAAGATCCTACTAAACCCTAAACCTAGACACTGCATACCCTAAACCCTAAACCCTAAACCCGAAACCCTAAACCTTCTTGCCAGTACTACGGCCTCCTCGTGGTCCATGGAGTCCGTGTTGATCTCCATACTGGCGCAGAGGACTGCAGGGGTTCAGGGTTCAGGGGTTGTTTAGGGTTTAGGGTTTTTGGTTTTGGGGTTCAGGGGTTCAGGGGTTTAGGGGTTTAGGGTTTTGGGGTCTAGGGGTTTAGGGCTCAAGGGGTTTAGGGGTCTAGGGGTCTAGGGGTTTAGGTGTTTAGGGGTTTAGGGTTTTAGGGTTTAGGGTTTGCAGGGCTTCAGAAGCGTTGAGGGTGGCAGGGTGCGGCACGGAGGACGCTGGGGCTATCGAACCCCACGCCCGCGCCCTCCCCAACCCTTGAAGCCTGCATCCCACACCTGGGCTCTACTACGCCGGCTTCTGTCTTAGTTTAGGGTTTAGGGTTTAGGATTTAGGGTTTAGGATTTAGGGTTCAGGGTTTAGGGTTTCGGGTTGCGGGGTTCGGGTTTCGGGGTTCGGGGTTCGGGTTTCGGGTTTGGGGTTTAGGGTTGAGGGTTGATACTGAGCGTACCTGTTAGGCAGCAGCCCATGTCATCCCTAAATATAGAAAATCCCTTAACCCCTAACCCCTGCCCCCCAAAATGTACATGAAGCTTGTCATATTTGACTATTCAGTTGATGGTGCTTGAATCTTCATCAATACCTACTACTCCCTTTCCAGCAATGTTTGGGCTTTGGGTGTAGGTATATGGTTATTTCCCAAGATAGGGGTGCCCCTTTTACACCCCAAATAGAATGCAATCCCCTTAAGGGGACCCCCAACAGGAACAAGGGTACCCCCAATCTCGGACATATACCTAGTTCATTAGTTTGTTCCGATAAAAAACATGGACAAGCACACATCTTAAACCCAAGCCCCAGACAGCCTAAAGACCTGGCCCTCCCCCCCCGTCCAAACAAAGTACCCCCAAGCCCTAAACCCTAAACCCTAAGCCCTAAACCCTAAACCCTAAACCCTACGCCCTACTTACCGATATGATGTCGGCGTCGCAGGCTGATGTGGCCAATGGCCCGACCCATCAGCTGGAGGTTGCAGAGAAGCTTCAGCGGCCCCTAGCCTGTCCAGGGTTCAGGGTTTCTAGGGTTTACGATTTAGGGTTTAGGGTTTAGGTCTAGGGTTTAGGGTTTAGGGTTTGGGCGTTGGGTTTAGTGGGGAGGCAGGGTTTAGGGTTCAAGGGGTTCAAGGGTCACTACTAGAGCTTGTGTTTCTTGTTTGCTGCTGGGCTCTCTTTTTTCCTGTACCTGGCCAGCTGAGTTTGCACTTTCTTATCAGGGGTTACTGAATTATCTGGCTTTTTCGTAGGGCTGAGATTTCTAGGCCTTCTGGGCGTCCAAGGCTTTTGGCTTTACTTTGTGAGTTTAAAGTGTTGGGTTCGAGGGCTTGGGGTGTCGGGTATCGGGTGTAGTTTAGAGTGTAGATACAAGCACTACCATACTTTTTCAAAGCATTCATGCTTCTAGTTACGACCTGCCAATGTGAGCATTGCTTTCAAACCCTAAACCCTACAGGGTGGGGCCCCCTAGTTATAAGTAGAGTTATAAGGGCCCTAAATTGGGTTATAAGGACCCTAAGTTAGGTCATAAGTCCCTTAACTACAGTTAGTATAGTAAGGGGGCCCCACCCTGTAAATCCTTCACCCTGAACCCTGCTGTGCTGTGGTTTTCACGCATGCAACGGTGACTGGCACCCGAACAGCCCGAGAATTCGCAAATTCGTCTTTTTGTGTTAGCCGAAAAACGCGAAAGCTTGAATATTAGAATTTTCGAAGTTCTGTTTCGTGTCCACAGAAAAAAGCGAAAGCTTCAAGAGTCGAACTTTCGAGTGTTTGAACTACCGTATTTGATATTTTTCAAATTCGTGTAGTGTCATAAAAGACCTGATAACCCTAAACCCTAAGCCCTAAGCCCTAAGCCCTAAACCCTAAACCCTAAACCTTAAACCCTGAGATTTCGATGCGGCTCTGCGAAGTGCTTGTGTGCAGGTTTAACCCAGACATGCAGGTACCGTGCTCTCAATGAGACCCTCATGAACCGGTACATGGCAGGCGTGGCAGGAATGGAGGGTTTAGGGTTTAGGGTTTAGGGTTTAGGGTTTAGGGTTTAGAGGGCTTAGGGTTTAGGGTTTAGGGTTTAGGGCGTAGGGCTTAGGGTTTAGGGTTTAGGGTTTAGGGTTTAGGGTTTAGGGTTTAAGGTTTAGGGTTTACGGAAGAAGAAATATGAACCCTACTTCAATGAAAGCCAAGCCCACACTTACTCTGCTCCTTGTGCGGCCCCCGAATGCTTCAGTGCGTCCACCGACCTGCGTTGTCCCCCTGTAGAGGGATACCTCATTCCCTCCTTCCCTACGATTCCCTACTAAGAACTTAAGAACCAGCCAGTTGTTTGGGCGCCTGGTGTATGTAAGTCCAGATCTGCATGCTTACACCCTGGGGCCTTGGCATACGTGACAGCGGGCTGCAGTGCCAAAGATCAGGGCTTAGGGTTAGGTACGAAACCGAAGCCTCACGACCTCCACTCGTGCCCGAAACCCCAAACCCCAAAGCCCTAAACCCCAAAGCCCTAAACCCTAAACGCTAAAAGCCCTAAACGCCCTAAAAGCCCTACAAGCCCTAAAAGCCCTACAAGCCCTAAAAGCCCTAAAAGCCCTAAAAGCACTAAATGTCCTAAATGCCCTAAATGCCCTAAATGCCCTAAAAGCCCTTAACCCTAAACCCTAACCCTAAACCCCAAAGCCCAAACCCCAAACCCTAAACCCTAAACCCTAAACCCTAAACCCTAAGCCCTAAGCCCTAAGCCCTAAGCCCTAAGCCCTAAGCCCTAAGCCCTAAGCCCTAAGCCCTAAGCCCTAAACCCTAAACCCTAAACCCTAAACCCTAAACCCAGCAGTGCAAACGGAAGGGGCCGATATACCCCTTGTGGACTCCAGCTTCTTGGATCCCTGGCTTTTAGAGGCTTTGGGGAATAGGGTTTAGGGTTTAGGGTTTAGGGTTTAGGGTTTAGGGTTTAGGGTTTAGGGTTTAGGGTTGAGGGTACCTGGATTATGTTTCTTCCCTGTTAAAAGAAGAGGAAGCTACTTCAATCATTGGGTTGCATCGGGTGATCCAAAGCTTCTCGGGCAAGTTGCTTAAATGGAGTTGTTGGGGCTGCCTCCCGAAGCCCTAAACCCGAAACCCTAAGGAAGACGACATCACATCCTACCATCTTCCTCGACAGTGGCGGAATAAGCTGCAAGTCGTCAAGAAGCTGGGCGAGGGGTCTTTTGGGAAGGCGGCGGGTGTCGGACATCCCTCACCATAAGCCCCCAACCCCAAACCCTAAACCCTAAACCCTAAACCAAACCCCTGTACGCCCTGTACAAGCACAAACCCTGGGCCCTAAACCCCATTGCCTTCGGGAGATCTCTTCCTTCTGAGGTTGCGGGGCATCCTAGTATGATCCACTTCATGGTTCATCTAGGGGTGGAGGTCTTTAGGAGTTTATGTGAAGTTCACAGTGCGTCGAGGTTTACGTTGATCAACCTCACTCTACCCTGTCATTCTCAGGAAGGTCGGTATTGAAGATTTTCGGGCGTTCCCTCCCTGAACCACAAGCCCTAAACCAACCTAAACACCAAACCAACTGAAACACCTATACCAACCCAAACCTTAGACCTCCAACCCAAAACCCTGAACGCTAAACCCTAATCCTTAACCCAAAAGCACCCACCCTCACTCATGCCCCGCCTGAACTCCAAGACCCTAATCCTGGAACCTTTCGGATTTAGGGTATGAGGGATTAGGGATTAGGGGTTTAGGGTTTAGGGTTTAGGGTTTAGGGGTACTAGGGAGTAGAGTTTGGGGCTTAGGAAGCCCGCAGTACTTTCGGCTGGGTCAGGGATCGGCATTCCTCTTCGCTGCATTGACCCTAAACCCTACACCCTACACCTTAAACCCTAAACTCTAAACCCCAAACCTTAAACCCTAAACCCTGGGGAGGTGTTCCAGTGCCGGGTCCTTTGCGAAAGCAGCAAGGACTGACTGAGCTGCGAGCTCAGGGTCTTCGAGGGTTTTCCCAACAACGGGGGGGTGCCCCTTACAAACCCTTAAGAGAGAGTAGGGTTTCGGGTTTAGGGTTTAGGGATACTAGGAGGAGCCCCTTACATAGGTACACGAATCTTGGGAACCCCCATCGGGTGTGGGGTTTAGGGCTTGGGGACCGCCAAGCCCCCTAGCTCGAGAACACCTTGGGGCTATTTTCGCCGCAGCCCTAGACCCTAAAGGGTTTAGGGTTTAGGCTTTAGAGTTAAGGGTTAAGGGTTTAGGGTTTAGGGTTTAATTAGGGTTTAAGGTTTAGGGTTTAGGGGTTAGGGTTTAGGGTTTAGGGTTTAGGGTTTAGCCCTCTCAGCAATATATAAACCTTTCAACCCACGCAGGTAAAACCCTAAACCCCAAACTTAAGCCCTACAAACCTTTCACGCCAAGCACTTCATCCCAAGTGGAACTTCCCTAAACCCTAAACCCTAAACCCTAAACCCTTTCTCACCTCAAAGCTCTTGAGTTCTCCGCGGTGCCCTTCTTCCCTTTTTTGGGGGGGTTTAGGGTTTAGGGTTTAGGGTTCAGGGTTTAGGGTCTAGGGTAGGTTATCTTCGAAACTTACAACACACGCCCGCAAAAGCAAACAAAAGCCAAGCGGGTAAGCCGTCAATCCCCAAACCCGAGACCCTAAACCCTCAACCCCAAACCCTCAACCCTAAACCCTAAACCCTTTAGGGCTTAGGGCTTTGGAGAAAAAAAACAAGCAAGCTCGAGACATGAACTGTCAGAGGACGTCTCGGTGTCGGTGAAACTGATCGTGGATAAGGACGACCCTCAAGTCAGGCTGGGGATCGGGCCTCGGGGCATTTCAGGGTTTAGGGTTTAGGGTTTAGGGTTTAGGGTTTAGGGTTTAGGGTTTAGGGTTTAGGGTTTAGGGTTTAGGGTTTAGGCTAGGACCCAGAGTAGGCCCTTATTCCTTTTAAGGGTTTAGGGTCCCTCATAAAGCCCCTTCAAACCAAAAAGAAGGCGCCCTTTTGATTCCTAGGCAACCCTTCGGTCTAGATAGTGTTGCACCCTGAACCCTGAACCCTGAACCCTAACCCCCTAAACCCCTAAACCCTAAACCCTAAACCCCTAAACCCGGAACCCTGTGCCCGAACCCCCTCCTGTCTATCCCCAAAGTAGAATCAGTCGAATCTCCGAAAACAAATGACACAAGAGAAAGGGCTCCATGATTGGAAGCCCCTCCCCCAGGTTAAGGGTTTAGGGTTTAGGGTTTAGGGTTTAGGGTTTAGGGCTAGGGTTTAGGGTTTAGGGTTCAGGGTTCAGGTTTCAGGGCTTATAGGGTTTACAGGGTTTCTAGGGTTTATAGGGTTTATAGGGCTTATGAGTTTCATAGGGTTTATAGGGTTTCTAGAGTTTACAGGGTTTATAAGGCTTGTAAGGCTTGTAGGGTTTAGGGTTACAACGCTGGGCTTCAGAGTTTTAACCGCTTTACCAAGCCCACTGGGCTAATCGAACCTGGGGGGGGGGACGTGCCTCTGCGCAACTCCTAAACCCTAAGCCCTAAACCCTAAACCCTAAACCCTAAACTCTAAACCCTAAACCCTTAGAGTGTCGAGCCCTGTAGGCTTTGGGGGCCTTCGGGCTTACGGTTTGAGAGCTCCAGTCGGCTTTAGGAGACATATTGAGGGGTTTCGAGTTTACTATTAAGGATTACCGGGTTTAGGGTTTAGGGTTTAGGGTTTAGGGTTTAGGGTTTAGGGTTTAGGGTTTAGGGTTTAGGGTTTAGGGTTTAGGGTTTAGGGTTTAGGGGTAAAGGCTGCGGGGTTCCAGCTCCAGCGCCAGGAATGAGATCCAGATTTTGAAGCAGATGCGTGGGGTGTCCGAGTTCTGCATCTCTGCCGTGGGAGAGCCGCCCTACATTGAAAACAGCGACGGGCTGCACTTTGAGAAATTGTTCAAGTATACTTCTTTCTGTTTAACAGGCGGCCTATGTATGCCATTTTGTGCAAGAGTAAGTTTTCGGGAGTGACTGAAATCGCGACGCAGGTGATGGAATTTGGCTCATGACCCCTTGCTCGCAATTGGTGCCAGGAATTCAGGTTTGGGGTGTAGGGTTCAGGGGTCATGGGGGTTGAGGGCTTAGGGTTTAGGAAGTTTTGCTGGAAGTCTGATGATTCTGATGATCCTCACTTGTTGTCTTAAAGCCTACGCCCTAAAGCAGCAACCCCTGAAACCTACCCCCTAAACCCTAAACCGTAACCCCCCCAACCCTAAACCCCTAAATTCAAACGTGGTTTGTTTCGCGGCTCCACGTCCCCGAGAACAGACGCAGAGGCGCAAAAGATGTGCCGACATCCTGAGTCTTCAGAGCTTTGTGGTCACCCTGAAACTTGAAACCCCAATTGCCAAGCTTGACGGTTTAGGGTTTAGGGTTTTGGTGTTTTGGGGTTTAGGATTCAGCATCTCAAGTCCAAGCATTCATTGGTTTAGCAGCTTTTCAGGCACCCGAAAAGTACCCACCCACCCAGAGAATCCCATTCCATGCAGATATTAAGGGGGGGGGGGGGGGGGGGGGGGGGGGTGTGGGCAAAGTCATATAGAAAGCGGGCACTTTGTACATGACCTTGCCTGCCCGCTTCTCATATGACCTTGCCCGATGACCTTGCCGCTCTTCATCATACGACATTGTACGCTCTTTATATGACCTTGCCCGCTGGTGAAACATGACCTTGCCCACGAAGGCATGAACATTATATATATATATATATGTGAATACATATATACATATGATAGAGTGGGTTAGGGTTTTGGTGGCTCCTAGCCCACTTCACAGCCCAATGGGATATTGGTTGTTGTCGGAGGTCTGGGTTTATCTGTAGCTTCAAGTCACCCATACAGACAGCGTACCTCTTACTGTTAGGGTTTAGGTTTAGGGTGTAAGATTTAAGGTTTAGGGTTTAGGGCTTGGTTTGGGGTTTAGGGTTTAGGGTTAGGGGCCTATAATTTTCGGGGTCAGGGTTTTGCAACTTCGATGGCCCTGTGCTTGAACCCAGGATGCCGTACATGAACGGCGGTGAGCTCCTCGACTTTCTGAACCGCTGCCAGACAAGCCCCGGCTGCCTCTATGGGGACCCAGAAGGCCACCCTAAGCCCTAAACCCTAAACCCTAAACCCTATATAAACCCTAAACCCTAAACCCTCAGACGGCTCCTTGGCGCCTTTGAGGTTCTGGGTGCGCAGCTACACTTGGGGATCTGGGTAGGGCATCCCTTTTTGCGCCACTTTTGGGGATTCTGCATCTGGGTCCCATGGACTCACCCTCGAACCTTGAACCCACAGACCTGAACCCTCAAAAGCCCCTTGGGTTTAGGGTTTAGGGTTTAGGGTTTGGGGTTTAGGGTTTAGGGTTTAGGGTTTAGGGTTTAGGGTTTAGGGTTTAGGGTTTAGGGTTTAGGGTTTAGGGTTTACCTTTAGGGTATAAAGGTTTCAAGGTACCGGCATCGGGACTGCTCACCCTATGTCTAGCTCTGGCTTGAAGCAGGAGTATGGACCCGAAACCCTAAGACCCCCAAACCCTAAACCCTAGCCCTAAACCCTAAACCCTAAACCCTAAACCCTAAACCCTAAACCCTAAACCCTAAACCCTAAACCCTAAGCACGGCCCGGCATGCTGCACCTGAAGCAGGCCGGAAGGATTGGACCCAGCTGAACCCACTCTACACCACGCCCCTCGGCACAGGATGCCCCGCTTGACTCGGGCGTGTCTTTTCTCTTGGTAGCCCAGTGGTACCCTTTACCCTTTTGTTTTTTTGGTTACGGGTTCCCTTCTAAAGTAGCCAACCCCACAAAGGGTGCCCCTATCATAATAGGGTTGCTGGGCTACCCAGTTCTGGTTCAGGGATGAGGGTTTACACTGAGGGTTTAGAAGGCTTAGGGTTTTGGGATCATATCCCCCCATATTCATCCCTTGCAGGGGAGTTATGCAAGGGATGCAAGGTACCGAATTCCCCCACGATGCCTGCCTCCCGTACGAGACTCATGTTATGGCCCTTCGGATGTTTCATGCTTGGCCTGGTGGTTTTAAACACCACGTACTCGGGGTTTAAGGGACTGAAGCCTGAACCTCCAACATCTGTCCCTAAACCCAAAACGCTATTCAGGCAGGACGAAAGTTCGACCCACGACCCAGAGGCATCAGCACACAAGCATGGCCAGGGCAACCCCCTAGGCCCCCTTAGACTCCTAGCGCACCAGGACTCCACCTTTACAAAATAGTAGTACATGTTTGTTCCGGTGGATTATGTTCGCGACTCCGCAACATGTTCAGGTCTTGGTAGGTCGAAACTTTAGTCCTAAACCCTAAACCCTAAACCCTAAACCCTAAACCCTAAACCCTAAACCCTAAACCCTAAACCCTAAACCCTAAACCACCTAGTTTGCAGAAGGAGAGCTGGAGGCTGTCTTCGAGTGCTGAGCCAAGGCCTTACATCCTGGGGCTGTTCAGCGACATCGTGCAGGGAGTGGAGGCCGGCTCAGGCTTTTGGAGTTTTGCGTCACCTTTCTAAAATTAAAATACCAGCAGATTTCTGGGTTCGGTTTAGGGTTTGGGTTTGGGGTTTAGGGTTTAGGGTGACGATGGGTGGTGTAGGAAGGTCACTCTTCAGCTGTTTGGAGGGCTGGCTCGGGGTGGTGTTCAGATGATGCGCACACTAGAACGTACTGCAAGCATTTTCGATGCATGAGAAGCAGCACCTCATGGAGTGCGTGGCCCCTATCTGTGTGTTGTGTGTCCGTGCTGGTGGCCCTGTGGTCTTTTGATAACCAGAAAGCCCAATACCCCTCCATTAAGGAATGTACCTTAAATTATATAGGGATCCTTAATATGATTATGGAATGTACCTTAAATTAAAAAGGGATCCTTAATATGATTTAGGGTATATCCCTTATTTAAGGGGTATTGGGCTCTTTGGGGTGGTTGAATGCGTTACCAACCTGAACCCTACAGGCCTTACTCGGCCCTTGGGGGCATTCTGGCCCCATAAGGGGTTCCTGCAACGGGGCTGCCCGTGTTTAGGCCGGCCTAGATCCTGGCCAGACCTCCAATTGTAGTTCCCTTTGGGGGGTGGGTTTGGGGGGGCGTTGGGGGGTTAAAAAATGCATGTTCTGAATAGGTTGTATTCGTGAGGTTAGTTAGCCCCAACCGACTTCTGGTCTCTCTATGACAACTCATTCAGTGATGACAGGGCCATGACCCAACATGCTAACCGGACAGAAAAGTACTCTTGAAGATAAGTGGGCTCTTCTCTGTGGTAATCCTAGTAGTAGAGTAGGTAACCTTTAACCTTTTTGGGGTAGTATAATGCCCTGATAATCCCAAAGGTTAACCTTGAATTCCCTCAGGTTACTGGACAACTAAGTAATTGGAGATTGGAGGGAGGCGGTCAGGTCAGCTGGAGTACTTATGGGTGTTTACGAAAATAGGGGGGCCCCCAATATAGACACCCAAATAGTGGGATATTAACAGAAGGACCCCAATAAGGTACCCCTAAACCCTAAGCCCTAAACACGCAAACCCTAAACCCTAAACCCTAAACCCTAAACCCTAAACCCTAAACCCTAAACCCTAAACCCTAAACCCTAAACCCTAAACCCTAAACCGCAGCGACCTCAACATTGAAGCAGGCCCTTCACGCAAAAGCCGGGCGGCTGCACATCGATCTGAAGCCCGCCAACGTCATGCTGAACTGCCGTGGGGAGAAGTGCCCAAGTGGGCACCCTCTGGGGTTCCTTCTTTGTACCCTAGCCCCTAAGCCCCCTAAACCCGAAACCCTAAGCCCTAAACCCTAAACCCTAAACCCTAAACCCTTGCAGTTTTCGGGAGGTATTCAGCTTTCCGTCTCTGGCTTTGGTTTGGCGGCCTCACCTAAACCCTAGACTATCTATCCACAGCCCGGAACCTAGCCAGGACCCAGATGGGACCCTTATTCTCTTTTTTTTAGGGGGTCGGATTCCCTCATAAACCCTACGAAGCCCTTCTTGGAAGCCCGTTTGACTTAGCAAGTAGGGTTAGTAAGGTGGGGTTATGGGGGTGATCATAGCGTTTCTAGGGGATAATAGTAGGATTCCCTTGCAATGAGGACCCCTATAAGGTACCCCAATTCGGGAAACCACTACGTCAACAGAGCTTCCAAGTTACAAGCCCTATGACAACCCTGTTGTTGCGGGGCGACTGGGGATTTTGTATTCTCTCAGAACCCTAAACCCTAAACCCTAAACCGTAAAACCTAAAACCTGATGGAGAAATAGGGCTGCGCCCGCAACATCCGCCCGCGATGGTCAGAATTTTGGGCAACTTTGCGGCGCTTCCTAGTTAAACCCTAAACCCTAAACCCTAAACCCTAAACCCCAAACCCTAAGCCCTAAGCCCTAAACCCGAAACCCTAAACCCGAAACCCTAAACCCTGCTGTGGGGCAACTCTGAGGTGCTTCGCGGCAGTGATTGACCTGGGCCTTGCCTGCGACCCAACGACGGGTTTGGGATAGTTCGGGGGGTGTTCAGGGTTTAGGGGTTTAGGGTTTAGGGTTTAGGGTTTAGGATCAAGGGTTTAGGGGTTTAGAGGGGTTTGGGGTTTAGGGTTTTGGGATTTTAGGGATTTTAGTGATTTTAGGGTTTAGGGGTTAGAGGTTAGGGTCTGGCCTTTAGGGTTTAGGGTTTGGGATTCAACATGGCGTTTTGGGTTGTTGGGGTTCCGTCTTTCGGTGTCTCGGGCTTGAGGGCGTTTATTTTGCAAAGCTCTGAGGTGGTCAATTTCGCTGGGCCGAAGGTTCGTGCATGTTCCGGCCCACGGTCCTAACAAGCCCCTGAAGCAGCGCCCGACGGCAGAGCTTTGTGGAGTGGGGTAGGGTTTAACCGACTGTTTGGGTTTCCATGCACGGTCGTTCCAATAGCCGTATATCTTTGACCACCACGGTTTTTAAGGCTTAAGTTTTCGGGTTTAGGTTATGTTGGGACAGGGAATGGTCTAGGTTGTGGTTGGTGTATACCTGAAGAATCCGCAGCCTCATTTTTTGAGATTCTAAGAATCTCATCACAAAAGCTTTGAACATAGTTGTTTGTGCTTTCTTCAGTTTTAAACAAGGCTGCAGTCAAAAGTGTGAGACGGGTACTTGTAGCCCTACGCATATTCTCGCAACAAACTGGTTGCTTAGCCTGCACCGAAGCCGCATAGTTGAGCCCGGAACCAGACCCTGCACCATAAAACCCTCAAACCGAAAGCCTGCAGCCTCCTAAACCCTAAAACCCTAAACCCCCTAAAACCCTAAACCCTAAACCCCCCTAAAACCCAAACCCTAAGCCCCCCAAAACCCAAAACCCAAACCCTAAACCCTAAAACCCTAAACCTCTCAGACCCTAAACCCCCTAACCCCAAACCCTAAAAGCCCTAAAAGCCCTAAAAGCCCTAAAAGCCCTAAACCCTAAAAGCCCTAAACCCTAAAAGCCCTAAACCCTAAAACCCTAAACCTCTCACACTTCCTCAGAGGATCTCGGGAGATTGCCGAGCGTCCGGGACGCCAATTTACCTACCTCCCGAGGCCAGCGCTTCTGGGGTTGTGGGTTTGGGGTTTGGGGTTTAGGGTTTAGGGTTTGGGGTTTAGGGTTTGGGGTTTGGGGTTTGGGGTTGTGGGTTTGGGGTTGAGGGCGTTTAGGCGTTTAGGGTGTTTGGGGTGTTTAGGGTGTTTAAGGTGATTTAGGGTGTTTAGGCTGTTTCGGGGGGTTTAGGGGGTTTAGGGTTAGAGTTTCTTTCATGACGGGTAGGGAATATTAGCCAAGCTCCAACACCTTGTTCTCCACAGCCTTCACGAAACCCTCAACCCACCCGCCACCCTTTACATGACTCCAATATCCGGGGTCCCCACGCTAAGATCAGCACCCAAAACCCTAAACCCTAAACCCTCAACACCCCAGCCCAAAACCCTAAACCCTGAACCCTAAACCCTAAACCCTGAACCCGAAACCTTAGACCCAACCTTAAACCCTAAGCCCTGAACCCTGAACCCTGAACCATAAGCAAGAGTTTGAGCTGTTCTGGGATCGCCACTGGGCCTTGCAAGGTCTACAGACTCAGCCGCCGAGGCATGTTCCCTGCACTGGTTTAGTGTTTAAGGTTCAGGGTTTAGGGTTCATGGGGCTTGGGGCTTAGGGGTTTGGGGTTTAGGGTTTAGGGTTTAGGGTTTAGGGTTTAGGGTTTAGGGTCTACTAGGGCTCAGTGTGCTTTTCGCGCGGCACCCGAAGCCCGAGTCCCCTCACAGGCTTGCGGCATCCAGCACGGGATGTGTGGGCACTGGGCATCATTCTGCGACGCGGATGAGTACGAATGTCGTGTAGCCCTAAACCCTGCACCCTAAACCCTAAACCCTAAACCCTGAACCCTAAACCCTAAACCCTAAATGCTAATCCCTAATGACCCCATATTGCGAGGTGACTTTTCGAGAGGGACACCGCTTTGGGAGGTCATAGTTTCAGAAACAGCCCGAAGCTTCGACTTGCGGTTTAGGCTTTAGGCTTTTGGGTTTAGGGCTTGGGGTTTAGGGTTTAGGGTTTAGGGTTTAGGGTTTAGGGTTTAGGGTTTAGGGTTTAGGGTTTAGGGTTTAGGGTTTAGGGTTTAGGGTTTAGGGTTTAGGGTTTGGGAGCCCTGTTAGTCTTGCACCCTTTTACCCTTTTTTGGTTCAAGGTTCGATTATGAAGTAGCCAACCCCAGAATGGGTGCCTTTGTTGTACTACGGTTGCTGGGGCTACCATGTAATCTTAGTAGCTGAGTGAGTACACTTTACACTCTTTGGGATACTATAATCCCCTATAAAGCTGAAAGTGTACACTTTTAGATGTAGTTAAGGAACACCCAAGCGCGCTTCGTAAGTGGCCAGTTCCCCAGAACAGGACTCAGTGTTTAGAGTTCAGGGGTTTAGGGCTGAGTATTTGCAATCCCCCCTATTCTGGTAACCTCGCTTAAAGTTCCTGGGCAAGCAGCAACTCAGCTCTACTGGTTTAGGGTTTAGGGTTTAGGGTTTAGGGTTTAGGGTTTAGGGTTTAGGGTTTAGGGTTTAGGGTTTAGGCCCTAGAAGATGTTTTTGCCCTCAAAGTTCATAAGCCCTAAACTCTGCATACACCCTAAGACCCCAAGCCGAGGTATCAGCTCCTGTACCGCGGCCGGCCACCATTCTTTTCGGATCCCCGACACCAGGCCTTGGCATTCAGGGTTTAGGGTTTAGGGTTCAGGGTTCTTAAGGGAGGAGGGTTCTTAAGGGAGGGGGCTTCAAGGGGGGTATGTGACCCAAGGTTCCCTAGTACTCCCCTCTACTCCCCAAGGCTCCCTGAGCTTCCCTAGGTACCTACCCCCTCCTTAAGGGTTTAGGGTTTAGGGTTTAGGGTTCAGGGTTTAGGGTTTAGGGTTTAGGAACCGTGTAAGTTTAGGAGACTACCTGAACCTTCAACAAAGGCAAAAGTTGCTGGTGGGCCGAAGCTGCGGGTTACATGCCCTATGTTCGTAAACCCCCCATATATCAGCAACCTAGACAGTAGTCCTAAACCCTACATCCTAAGCCCTAAAACACTGAACCCTAACACCCAAACCCTGAACCCTAAACCCTAAACCCTAAACCCCAAGAGGGGAAGCTGCAGGTGAGCCTCTACGATGCTTACTCGGACGACAACATCCCCAAAACAAGGTGCCCACTCTGGGTTTAGGGTTTAGGGTTTAGGGTTTAGGGTTTAGGGTTTAGGGTTTAGGGTTTAGGGTGACCGGAGGTTTGCGGCCTGGAGCCCTCAAACCATAGAACCTGAAGGCCCTAAACGCCTAACATCCCCAAAACGCTAAAACCCTAGGGTGTTAAGGTTTCGGTTTTAGGGCTTCGGCGGGGTGAAGCGCTTAACTGTCGGGTTTGAGAAAATGTACTGATAGCTAGCACCTGGGTACTGACCCCCACCCACCCGCGCGCAAAGACATCCCTCGATCGCGATCGGAGCCTTTTTGCTTTGTTCATCCTGTTACCCCGACCTAAACAACCCTCGAACCCAAACTAAGCCTCCAAGAACCCTTGAATCACCCTAAATAGGGTTGGGGTGCAGTCAGGTAGTACAAACCCTAAACCCCCAAAAAACCCTCAGCTTAAGGTGGTGGTGGGCTTCGGATTGGGTGGGTTTGGGCTTCTTGGCTCTTACGATCGGAGAGCAAGAGGGGTTTAGGGTTTAGGGTTTAGGGTTTAGGGTTTAGGGTTTAGGGTTTAGGGTTTACTGGGTTGAGGGTTGGGAGTTCAACTGGTACGACTGACTAAGCCCTCCCTGTGGATGCAGGCGTTGTCCGTTCAGTGGGAAGTCCCAGCTTCTTTGGGGCGATCCCCTGTTTCTTCTTCATCAAAATAGGCATAAACCCTAAACCTTAAGCCCCTAAACCCTAAGCCCTATACCCTGACTAAACCCCTGCTAAACCCCTAAACCCCAAACCCCAAACCCAAACCCCAAACCCTAAACCTAGCCGCTAAACCCGAAGCCCTAAACCCTAAACCCTATATTACCCCAGAGCTCAAAGACTCGCTGCACTGGGCCCACCCTTTGCAACATCGAGGAGGGAGTTGCCACCCTGTTTTGGGCTCCTTCATTGGCACGACAAGTGCATCCCTAAACCCTAAACCCTAATCCCTAAACCCTAAACCCTAAACCCTAAAACCTAAACCCTAAACCCTAAGCCCTAAGCCCTAAGCCCTAAGCCCTAAGCCCTAAGCCCTAAGCCCTAAGCCCTAAGCCCTAAGCCCTAAGCCCTAAGCCCTAAGCCCTAAGCCCTAAGCCCTAAGCCCTAAGCCCTAACCCTAAACCCTAAACCCTGAACCCTAAACCCTTGAGATATATAAGAGGCACCCCTATTTTCGGAAATCCCCACAGGAAAGTTGACTCGCTGGTCATGGCCATGCTGTGGCTGGGCTTTTCATCTTCGGAGTTTTTGTCTTCGGGTTTAGGGTTTAGGGTTTAGGGTTCAGGGTTTAGGGTTTAGGGTTTAGGGTTTAGGTTTTAGGGTTTAGGCTTTAGGGTTAGGTTTAGGGTAGGATTTCGGGCTTGGGGCCTATAGAGCTTTAGGGATTCGGGGTCAAGGGCTTCGGGGTTTAGGGCTTTCGGGCGTCCAGGCTCACTAGCCCCCCTAGAAGGTCTCATCATCGCCACTCCCGGCCACCCAGATGGATGTGAAGTCCCAGGTCTGAAGAGCCAAGTTCATAATTGCATAGGCACACACTATATCTGATTTAGGGTTTAGGGTTTAGGGCTAGGGTTTAGGGTATTCATGTTCGTATGCATGTGCGCATGTAAAATCTGTGCATGAACATGGTGGTGGCCCTCTTGTTCTAAGAGGCTCAGAACAAGCCTTGGGTTTCAGGGTTCAGTTGCCTGGAAGATTAGGGTTTAGGGTGTACGGTTTAGGGCTGAGGGTTTAGGGTTTAGGGTCTAGGGTTTAGGGTTTAGGGATGTATACAGTAAATCATCCTGTAACCCCTCAACCCGCAACCCTTCACCCTAAACCCTAACCCTCCCCCCCTCTCTCTTGGCTTCAAAGCCCCAAATCCTCAACCCCAAACCCCAAACCCCCAACCCCACACCCCAAACCCCCAACCCCCAACCCCAAACCCCAAACCCCAAACCCCAAGCCGCAAGCCCCAAACCCCAAAGCCCAACTAGCAAGGCCGAAGCCCCGTTGCCGTGATTCAGGAAACCCTAAACCCTAAACCCTAAACCCTATACCCTCTAAACCCTCTATACCCTCTAAACCCTCTAAACCCTCTAAACCCTAAACCCTAAACCCTACCTTGATCCAGGAACAGGGACTACCATTCGAGGCCAACGCTGCAAGGCATACGCACCGCCTTGAAGGTGCGACAAGGGTTTAGAAGTTTAGGGGGTGTAGAGTTTAGGGGTTTAGAAGTTTAGGGGCTTCAGGTTTAGGGGTTGAGGTTTGGGGGTTGAGGTTTAGGGGTTAACCTGGCCGACCGGTTCTGAGTAGGGAATTCATTCCTTTCATTCCCGAAGAACCAGTAAGTTCAGGTTACGGGCCGAGGTTTTATAGGGCGAAGGGACCAAGGTAACTGCTGGGTTTTGGAGTACGGTACTTTAAAACTATGTTTGCTTTTGGGTTCCTATGATAACTACTTATTCCTAAAAAGTCTATACTTTTTTCCACGGTCTACTCCAAAGTATCTGGGTATAGGGTTTCAGGGCTTTTTGGTTTTAGGTTTTAGGGTTGTAGGGTTTTAGGGCTTTAGGGCTTCTAGGCGGTTATAGGGTTATAGGGGGTTATAGGGGTATAGGGTGTTATAGGGTTATAGGGGGCTATAGGGTTATCGGGTTTGAGTCTCCTGGAATCAAACAAGCTGCATCATCGGGTTTAGGGTCTAGGGTCTAGTGTTTCGGGTTTAGAGTTTAGAGTTTAGGGTTTAGGGTTTAGGGTTTAGGGTTTAGGGTTTAGGGAACCCATCCCAAGAACCCCGCACCATCCTAGACGACCCTATACCTTACGCATCCCTATCCTCCCCTATAAATACCCTGCACGCTGTAATTTCCTTGTACCTGAACCTCCCTATACCCTGCACTCTAAACCCTATACCTCAGCCTACACCTCTCTAAGCCCTTTTGGCTTTAGGGTTTAGAGTTTCTACTAAACCCTAAACCCTAAACCCTAAACCCTAAACCCTAAACCCTAAACCCTAAACCCTAAACCCTAAACCCTAAACCCTAAACCCTAAACTGCTTCAAGGGTTCGGGGTTGCAGGCCCTGGTGTATGAGGATTACGCGCTGGACAGGGATGCAGCTGCTTGGCACCTCCCAGAACTACCCCAAAGCCGCTGTTGGGGTTTAGGGTTTAGGGTTTAGGGTTTAGGGTTTAGGGTTTAGGGTTTAGGGTTTAGGGTTTAGGGCTTAGGGCTTGGGGTTTAGGGTTCAGGGTTCAGGGTTCAGGGTTCAGGGTCGACAATAATCGTTCCAACTTGTTACAGCCCTCTTTGGGAGCTACCCAGGTGAACATGATCAAGCTGTCGCCGTCAGAGCGGGGGGCGAGCGTGACCACCCCGACCTGCCTTGACAGGGAGGAGGAGCCGGAGGATGAGGATTTGGGTTTAGGGTTGAGGGTTGAGGGTTGAGGGTTGAGGGTTGAGGGTTGAGGGTTGAGGGTTGAGGGTTGAGGGTTGAGGGTTGAGGGTTGAGGGTTGAGGGTTGAGGGTTGAGGGTTGAGGGTTTAAACCCTGCCCCTTAACCCCAAACCCTAAACCCCTAAACCCTGAACCCTGAACCCTACACCCTACACCCTAAACCCTAAACCCTAAAGCCTTGTAAACCCTAAGCCCTAAGCCCTAAACCCTAAACCCTAAACCCTAACTCTAAACCCGTACCTAACCCCAGAGCCCAGCAACCCCGCCAAGAGGAGCCTTTGCCCGCTCCGCAATGGAATGCCGTGTGGCTCGGCTGGGGATGTGAGATCTTTCGAGCCTGTAGGGTTGTCCTGTCGGGTTTAGGGTTTAGGGTTTAGGGTTTAGGGTTTCTCCACCCTCCAAAAAAGCGGCTGTCTATACCCTCGGATGCGTAGCACTTTGAAGGGCAGGTTTAGGGTTTTAGGGGATTATAAAGCCTCATACAGCGAGGTCACTCAGAAGGCGTGTTCCTTAAGTTTTGGTGTCGGTGCAGGTCGGGTCAGAGTTGGACAGGTGAGGATTTGAGACCTTTTTGGGTCTAGGCCGCAGTCTGCATAAGCCCCAGACCCAAACACTATTAACCCCACAAGCCCTATGAACCAGCAAAAAATCGATAAACCCTATGAACCCTATAAACCCTATGCACCCTATGAACCCTATGAACCCTATGAACCCTATGCACCCTATGAACCCTATAAACCCTAAGAACCCTATGAACCCTATGAGCCCTAGGAGCCCTATGAACCCTATGAACCCTAAGAACCCTATAATCCCTAAACCTGCGCCTTCCAGAAAGTAGTCAAGGCATCCCTCCGGACGAGTCAAGTACAACCCGGCCGACTTTGCGCCTGATCGACACCAGGCGGAGTAAGGGCCGAATCACGCAGGGCTTAGGGTTTAGGGTTTGGGGTTTAGGGTTTAGGGTTTAGGGTTTAGGGTTTAGGGTTTAGGGTTTAGGGTTTAGGGTTTAGGGTTTAGGGTTTAGGGTTTAGGGTAGGGCTTTGGGAGTTGGGAGGTGGGGGTTTAGGGTCTAGAGTCTCGGGTGTCTAGAATTTCGGGCTAGGAGGTTTGGCCTTCAGGGCTTAGGGTTTAGGGTATTCACAGTTTAGGGAGGTTAGGGTTTAGTATTTAGGGTTCGGGGTTTATGGTCTTATGCTCTTTTAGGGTCCCATGCTGCTTTTTCATGAACCCTGCTTTGTGAACCCAAAGCAACCCGCCCTATTCCCTCCAAACGACACCCCAAACCCCGAACTCCAAAACCTAAACTTGAAACCCTGAAGCTCTAAGAGCACGGGCTTCGTAGGCATGCCGGTGGGTAGGGCTTGGGGTGTAGGCTTGAGGGTTCAATCTTTGGTTTTTTGGCCAGCCATTCAATGGTTCTTTTCTATGACGACAACGACGACGACTACTGCTAAGACGCAGAGCTGGCATCGTAGCTTTGTGCCCAAAGGGCCCTAAGTACCCTAAACCCTAAACCCTTCGTAGCCGTTTGCGGTGGTATTCATGTCTCGCGACGCGCAGAGGCGTCAACGACCCTGCAACGAGTGCACCCTGGCATCTCGGGGAACTTTGGGAGTTGAGGCGTCGTGGTTCGTAGGGTTCAGGGTTTCGGGTTTCGGGTTTAGGGTTTAGGGTTCAGGGTTTCGGGTTTAGGGGAAACGGAAGCTGGGAAAGAGCTGATGCACGAAACCTCAAGCCCTAAGCCCCAAAATCTTCTCCCCAACTTAAAGCCTTCTATCCGCAAGCACAAGAAGCCAAGACAGCCAAGGTTTCATTATGATGACGTGCGCGAGCAGGCGGCCAACGGATCAGACGGAGAATACCCCCGCCCAGCCATTTAGGGCTTAACCCAAAGAGCCCAATATTGCTTAATTAAGGAATATACCTTAAATCATGTTAAGGATCCCTATATGGTTTAAGGAATATTCCTTAATTAAGCAATATTGGGCTCTTTGGGAATGGCCCCTAAGACAGGAGGGCATGGTTGGAGAAATTCAGGTTGAGATCACCCTGGGCCAGGCACGCTAAATCCTAGACCCTAAACCCTAGACCCTAAACCCTAAACCCTAAACCCTAAACCCTAAACCCTAAACCCTATAGAACTGAGGATTTCGGGTTGGCCGGGCCGAAGGTCCGCCCATAGCACAGGGCTTCGGATGGAAGATTAGGGCTTTAGGGTTTAGGGTTTACGGTTTAGGGTTTAGGGTTTAGGGTTTAGGGGTTCAATTTCTTTTAGGGCACGTTCCGCTTGATTGCAGCACGCCACCACCATTTCTCTTCTTCCTAGAGGTCATCACGACATCTCAGTCCCCTGTCCACCGACCAGTGCCCCTTGGGCAGCGTGAAAGTTCAGGGTTTCATGTTGTTAACACCTCTCTCCCCCCCCCCCACCTGAAGACCCCAACGTAGTTCCTTTTGAGGTCCGTTATGGCTCTTTTGTATATGAATTATTTCTTTAAATCTATTTCGTGGTGGAAAGAAACATTCAAGACGTTTGAAATTTTAAGAAATTTCAGGAATTGATGATAGTATACCACCCTAGAAGGAATTAGGTTAGAGTCCTTCAGGTAGGGAGCTCGGGACGAACTTGTAGCTTGTTTGGCAGCCGGGGGCCTCAGAATTGTGCTCGCCTGCGGAACCCTGAACTCAATCCTAAACTTGGGATCTTCCCCCTTTTTCTGACGATCCTTAATAAGGATTCTAGTACCGATGATAATCCCTATAAAGGAGTGTTATTGTAAGGCCCAACTAGCGCCGGCGCCGACAACGTACAGTCTAGATACCTTTTGCGAGCTCTTGCTACAAAATCTCCCTGACAACTTCTAGGGTTTCGGTTCTAGGGTTTAGGGTTTAGGGTTTAGGGGTTAGGGTTTAGGGTTTAGGGTTTACGGCTTAGGGTTGAGAGTTTACCAAGTAGGGTTTGGAGCTTAGGGCTTAGGGCTTAGGGTTTTGCCGAGCCCTCTGCCGAACAACGCAGCGAAGGCTTCATTATGACCACGTCTATGACGAGCCTGTCGAGGGCTACCACCCTGCGCTGGGGCTGGCATGTATATTAGGACCCCTTAGGGTTATTTAGGGTTTGGGGTTTAGGGTTTTGGGTTTAGGGTTTAGGGTTTAGGACCCCAAGCAGGCCCTTATTCCCCTTTTTAGGGTGTAGGCTCCCCTATGAGCCCCTTTAGACCAAAAAAGGTGCATTCTTTTTATTCCTAGGTTGCTCTTGGGGAGTCTAGTATATGTGCCTGTGTATTACAAACGTAAATCGAAATATAAGGTCACCCAGCTTGCCCCTTATGCCACTCTTCCCCAATTGATTGACCTCTTTGTTTCCATCTTCAAAAACACTGCAAATAACTAGCGGTTCGACACACCTTTTGAGTCAATAACTGGTAAAGGCGTGACCCTTGGTCAACTTGGTCAACGCACATGGACTTAGATCACTGTTGCGGTTTTGATTCTTTTGCTCCGTGTGCTGGCACACCTTGGTCTGCCATTTTAAAAGAGGTTGTTGCAGTCATGGTTTCAGAAGCTCTGTCCTAAACACAGTTGAATATCTTTGCACACGATTCTTTGTTGTCTCTCGAGTTCTTTCGTGCACCACTTAAGATTCAGTTGAAAACTAACAAACTCTACCCACCCCATGAGACCCTTATGGAAGTCGTACAGTCTTGCTAAACGCTTACCGGCATCTCATGCAAATCACTATCTCATTGCAAATCTTGCCGTTCACCTGATAGTGAAAATTGTTGTGACTTTCTGCTCGCCACATTAGATGTTTGGGTTAAGGGTCTAGGGTTTAGGGTTTACTCGCAAAAAACATGAAAGTATAAGTTGGGATCCTATAAAGCCTGCCTCGATACGATCTTTACTGTTTCTTGTCTATGAACAACCATATAAGTGGCTCTCACCGTAACACACTGAAAACATATTTCATAGGATTACGCAAGGGATTTGAATTTATTTGTGCGATTTAGTAAGGTCTGAAGAATCGTTCTTTCAGTGACGACCAGTCAGGATCCTATTCATGTGACATATTAAGGCGGTTTAAGAAGAACACATGCAATCAAGGCTGCATCTTACGCATACCGCTACCCTGCGATAGCAGAGCTTCAGTCTTCAATCTCATTCCAAAGATGATGTCCTGAGGGGCTGGTTCGCCAATGCAGGTTGAGGCTACTTAGTTTATACAACCATAGCCTCTATCATAGAGGTCGCTTTCATGCTTTGAATGAATACAACGACTGAAGGCAACTATGCATCTTTCGCCTGGTGGAATTTAAAGAACGGTCAAGAGGGATAGGTTCATGACCTGTTGTCATGCATTTGTCTCCCCTCCTCCACCGCCCAGATATGTATATTCATTGCGCAGGCTGAGTTGTGTGATGTATTCCAAGGGGGAGAATCGAGTAGGATTGACTAAGCGTCTTGCTCGACTAGGTTGTCCATTGAATTGCCTCCCCGCCCCTCCCCCCTCCCCCCCTTCCCCCCCTCCCCCCCAAAAAGGGTACCCTAAAAATAAGATGGTTACTGGGCTACCAACTCGGGACTCTTTGAGAGCCATTGGTGGACCAAAGAGTGAGGTGGTCGTTGAATTTGGCTTGACGGTGGGCTCGATTCTTTTGTGGAGTTGATGTGTATATATATATATATACATATACATATATATATATATGTATTTGCAGAGTTTCTGGGGCGGTCAAACCCGAAACCCTCCCCGTGGGGGGGAGCTCCAAGGCGGACATGAACGCGCCCGGATTCCGACCTGGCCGCCGCCCCCGTCAGCCATACGACCCTGCCAGGTATCCTGGGACTCCAATGGCTAGGATGCCCAGTAGTACCCTAATTCCTCTTTTTTGTTGGTTTTTTTTTTGGGGGGGGGGTTTAAGTTCCCTGATCAACAACTTTAAGCAAAAACAGGGCACCCTTTCTAATCCGATAGGTTGCTGGGCAACCCAGATGGGCAACAAGTTAAGTTGGGTTGTGCTTTCGTAACCACGAATCTCTTCTGTATTAAAGCGCAACTCAGCAAGCCTTTGTCTTGTGCTGGTTGTGTTGATTGGGCTTTGGGACTTGCCCTCAGCCCTCAGCCCTAAACCCTAAACTTAAGCCCGAAACCCTAAACCCCTTAGGGCTCAGGAGGGTTTAGGAGTTTGAAAGTCCTGAATTAGGTTCGGTCCTTTATACCCTAAGCTCCAGTTTCAGAACCCTAAATGTCTTTGTTTTGGGGTAACTTGAATGCGAAATCTCCGAAACGTATACTACGGGTTGCCAGCACATGTAGGTTTGGGCTCCTAAACCCTAAACCATAAACCCTAAACCCTAAACCCTAAACCCTAAACCCTAACCCTAAACCCCGCGCACCAGGTATCAGGCCCTCCTGGAGTCAGAGGCAAAGACCCACGAGCTGCCATGAAGTGGCACGGTTTGGGGTTTAGGGTTTAGGGTTTAGGGCTTGGGGTTTAGGGTTTAGGGGTTAGGGTTCAGGGTTTTAGGGTTTTAGGGTTTAGGGTTTAGGGTTTAGGGTTTAGGGTTTAGGGTTTAGGGTTTAGGGTTTAGGGTTTAGGGTTTAGGGTTTAGGGTTTAGGGTTTAGGCGCTGAGGGTTTGCCTAACTGGTTCTCGCTAGGCAATGAGTGACTGAGGCGACTTCAGGCATTCTGTAGGGGACCCAATCCCCTCATTCCCTACTACGAACCAGTAAATGAAGTGGCACTGTTTGGGGTTTAGGGTTTAGGGTTTAGGGTTTAGGGTTAGGGTTTAGGGTTTAGGGTTTATGGTTTTGGGCCACGACCTAGCAAGTGAAGTTAGAATCTTGAACAGCCCTAGTGGTCCGTAGTTCACCCACTTTCTTCGTGGATGAGGAGCCATATACCCGAAGCCCCAGATCATTAAGACCCACAGCTTCACCAATTGGCCTTTTTTACAGGAAACTCAGCCTATAAGGTTTCGAGCTCTGTGTGTGTGTATACATACATGTTATATATTCATATGTATATATCTATATACATACATAGCGTATATGTATATATATGGTTCAGCGTCGAGCGTCCTGGGCCCCCCCCCCCCATGGTATCCCCCCCCCCCCAAGTCTACTCTACGGTCCCTAAACCCTAAACCCTAAACCCTAAACCCCCAAACCCTAAACCCTAAACCCTAAACCCTAAAACCTAAACCCTAACCCTAAACCCTAAACCTTAAGTCTTAAACCTTAAACCCTAAACCCTAAAACCCTGAACCCTAAACCCTAACCCTAAAACCAACCCCCAACCACACCACAGGGGGGGGGATCATCTTAGTACCCCATCCGCGGGGAAAACCCTAAACCCTAAACCCTAAAACCCTAAACCGTAAACCCTAAACCCTAAACCCTAAAACCCTAAAACCCTAAAACCCTAAACCCTAAACCCTAAACCGTAAACCCTAAACCCTAAAACCCTAAAACCCTAAAACCAACCCCCAACCACACCACAGGGGGAGGGGGGGGTACCATTGAGGGGGGGGGTAGGGGGGAGGGGGGGGGGGCCCGCCGGGGCTGAATCATATATATATATATATACATATGTATACATGTAGATAGCTACACCCTAAAGCCTAAGTGAGGTGTGGGAGCTTATACGGCTTTAGCGAAGGGCTTGGGAGGCCCATCTTCGACGTAGACCACTTCTGTGGCGATGGGTTTTAGGGCTTGGGGTTTAAGGCTTTGGTTTGGGGGTTTGGGGTTTGGGTTTAGGGTTTAGGGTTTAGGGTTTAGGACCTAGGTGCCAGACTGCACCTGCACGGCGGCGGCAAACAAGAAAACCGATGGCACCACCATGCGATGAGCACGAAAACTGCACCTCTGGGTTTATATGCAAGGGACAGAGGGAGGGACCTTTATGTGGGACCTTCGGGGATATTTGGGGGTTATTTAGGGGGCTAAAAGGTATATAGGGTCTATAAGGTATATAGGGGACATGTAGGGGAATAAGATTAAGGTCCCAACCTAGGGGCCCCTCCTTAACCCCTGAACACATGCCTGATGTTAGCTGAGTGAGGGTTTCAAACCTTCAGCCTAAACCCTGAAACCTCATCCCCAATCCCAGAATCCTAAGCACCCTGAACCCTAAACCCTGAACTCTTAACCCCTGAACCCTTAACCCTTAACCCTTAACCCACAACCCTGATCCGAGTCGAAAAACGGGGGGGGGGGGGGTGGCCTAAGGAGCGCGGGCTTGCTTCTCTGTGTGGGTTTTCGGCTTGGTGTACAAGGTTTAGGGTTCTGAGTTTCCAACAGTTCGCGCACTTACTTTGGGCTTCTTAGAAAGGGTTTGGGGTTCTGGGCTTCCCAAAGTTCGAGCACGTATTTTGGGCTTCTTCGCCCTGAACCCATTCCTGCTGCGAATCCCAAAACCCGAAACCCTAAGCCCTAAACCGCAGCGGAGAGCGACGAGCGCAGAGAGCTCCGAGGTGAAAGCGAGATGTCGCCTGCAGAGCTCAGGACCAGCGCCGACAATCTGCTGGCCGGCTCTTAATTTTAATAGGGCATCAGGTACCCTATTGAACAATCTCCTAAAAGGATATAAATATATGTATGAGGGACTGAGGCACCCTATTTTGCAATCCCTAAAGGATATAAGTATATGTAGGGCCCTTTGTCGGGAATGAGGTACCCTATCTTAGAATCCCTTAAAAGGTTATAAGTTCATGTAGGGCCTTGATTCCTGATTCCCAGAACCAGGGGGTCTGTTAGAGAGTTAGGCTTCATTGGCAAGGAGTCACAAGAGACCCTAAACCCTAAACCCTAAACCCTAAACCCTAAACCCTAAACCCTAAACCCTAAACCCCGAAGGTTGTACCCCTCAAAGGTTCCTTTCATAGACCCCGAATCTGGCCCTGAGATTCCCTTAGAGGGTCTTCAAAAAGGGTCCCCAAGGGTTTAGGGTTTAGGGTTTGGGGTTTGGGGTTTAGGGTCTAGGGTTTAGGGTTCCAACTTCCCTATAACCTAGGATGCTCAGCAGTGCCCTTATTCCCTTTTTTGGGGGTGGTTTAGGCTCCCTTGTAAACCCCTTCCGGCAAAAAAGGGCACCCTTCTTAATGCTAGGTTACCGGGCAACCTAGTAATTCCATACCATACACCGGCCAGAACTCTTGACGCCAAGCGCCGCAAACCCTTTCAACCCTCACCCTGGCTGCTAAAATCCACCCTAAACCCTGCACCCCAAACCTGAAACCCAAATTCCCAGACCCCAAACCCAAAACCCCAAACCGAAAACCACACACCCTAAACCCCAAACCCAAAACCCCACACCCTAAACCCCAAACCCAAAATCCCAAACCCCAAACCCCAAACCCCAAACCCCAAACCCCAAACCCCAAACCCCAAACCCCAAGCCCCAAGCCCCAAGCCCTAAACCCTAAACCCTAAACCCTAAACCCCAAACCCTAACTAAACCCTCTAAAGTACCTGCAGGATGCAGCTGAACGTGGCCCAGATGGCCTCAGCGGGCCCAACATCTGCCGCGGCCGCTTCAGGTCGGTTTGGGGTTTAGGGTCTGGGGTTTGGGGTTTAGGGTTTAGGGTTTAGGGTTTGGGGTTTGGGGTTTGGGGTTTGGGGTTTAGGGTTTGGGGTTCAGGGTTTAGGGAGCTTCGCCCAGCTTGCCGGGCGCGGCTCCTTCCCCCAACTCCCCATTTGTGGATTCTTTTCGGTGCCAATTGTTCATGATAGCTACCCCGAAATTAAGAGGGCCCCATGAGGTTTTGGGTTTCGAGCTCCATTGGAGGGCCCTAAACCCTAAACCCTAAACCAGATGATGAAGGAGGACAGGGGCCAGGGTGCCTAGAACAGAGAGGATATCTGGATCGTCGGATTCCGGGTTCTTCGTGAGCAACCGTACCACCCTCAACCCTAAACCCCCAAAAGCCCCAAACCTACTTTAGGTTCGGGGGCTTGCTATAAAATCACAACCACACTTCTAACTAGCCTAACTACATATAGTAACCTGGGGTTACACAAGCGCTCAGGGTTAAATCAGGATTTGGGGTTTAGGGTTTCGGGTTTCGGGTTTAGGGTTTAGAGTTTAGGTTTCCGGTGCCCAAGCCTCCGAAGCTTGCATGTCGAGGCGTGCCATCACAAGCAATGGGACCCCGGACCACTTCGTCACTCAGCTTTGCTTGCTTTGAGACTCTGGGGGGGTCTTCCGGATCCCCTAAACCGTAAACCTAAACCCTAAACCCTAAGCCCTAAGCCCTAAGCCCTAAGCCCTAAGCCCTAAGCCCTAAGCCCCCTAAGCCCTCAACCCTACTCCACTAAACCGCAGGAAATGAAATCCAGTGAGTTTTACTTACACAACTTGGTAGGGAGGTGAGGGTTTTTTGTAGCTTATACCCTCCCTACATAACCTTTGTCGGTTCAGCAATTCCTTGCAATGAGCCACTAACTTGAACAGGTTTATAGGGGGTAGGGTTATGGGTTCCCAGGTATTTAGGGGCTTCCGGCTCGTCCCAGCAGGGCAATTCACACGGAAAGTTTCGGGTTTAGAGTTTCGGCTTTCGGGTTTGGGGTTTGGGGTTTAGGGTTTAGGGTCCAAGGTTGACCCTCTCTTCTGCGACCGATGCCTGCATGTGCTAGCGACGGACATGTCAACAGAATTTCGGAACCACTCTGGCCACCCCAGGAGCTCGATTCGTTGCATGGCGACCCTGCACCCCTAAACCCGACATTGTAAACCCGAAACCCGAAACCCTAAACCCGAAACCCGAAACCCTAAACCCTAAACCCTAAACCCTAAACCCTAAACCCTGCTTGCATGGCCCTGCCCTCCCCATTCCCCCCCGCCCCCCAACCCTCCAAACACCTTGAGCTGCCCCCAGGTATCGCAAGCAAGGCTGGCAGTATGCTCAGGGCCTGGGTTCGTCGTAAGCCCCTAAACTTGTGTTCTCTACTACTATTTCAACTATTTGCTTAAGCGCCCCCCCCCCCCCCCAAAAAAAAAAAAAAAAAGACAACAACAAATAATGAAGATAATGATCCCTGTCTTACCTTTATAGGGAAGTCTTTTTTATTTTCAGTTTTTTTTTTTTTTTTTTTTTTTTGGGGGGGGGGGGTGGTTTAAGCAAATAGTAGTCTAAGGGTAGCTACATGGTGCCTTAATGTGGCCCCTTTACCTCCTTCAAAGGGTTCTGAAGTATGGGCCATTGGGTTTTACAGGATTTATATGGGATACATAAGGGTTGTAATCCTATCCCCCTAATATTAAACGGGGGGGGGGGGGGGGGCCCCCCCCCCTTTAAAAATTCGAAAAGTGTTTTTATTATTCGGGTGTATTCTTATCGACATGTCATAATTCATTAGACTTCAGGGTTAATCAAGTAATCAACTTAAGTAACCCTCTGAGGGTTTTATTGGTGTTGAGGGGTTTCTTGGAGGCCTGAACCCC